CCAGCAGAAAGGCTGTATCTGTAAATACCATAAAAAACCCAGACTTTCAGCTGGTGATCCGGGTGCTGCATTTCCATATATGTATATAAAAGCCTTGGAGGATCCCAAGTCTGCACTCCTTGGATTTATTAGTGGTTTTGACACTGCTAACAGGGGAGGTTTGTGTCAGGAAGATGCTTAAAGTGCTTGGCTTGTCTTGCCACAGCCCCCCCCTTCTGCTGGGGCAAAATTGGGGATCACTGGCAGTCTGCTGTAAAGTGAATTCATCCATTCCTGGCTTTTGCAACCCATGAAATGAAAAAGAAAGTAAGCACAGGAGTAAAATCAGGCGAAGACTCTTCTAGAGTGAATAAACACAGGGGGGCCTTTCACTGCCTGTGGGATGCTAAAGGTGATCTGCAGTTTAAAGCGACACACATCAGCTGAGTAAATCTCTGCAGGGGCTGCAGGGCTACGCAGTAAATCCTCCCCCAGGAGTCCACGCACCTCTCACATAAAACACGTTTAAGGGATTTTTAGTGCTATGCAAAAGGTCATGGTGAGCAGAAGGCTTTCGTTCTGCTGCACCGGCCTCAGCAGACCCTCCATTGTTCGTGTAAGAAAACATCTGTCTAAGTATTCATCTGTCCAGCTGTTTGCTTAAAAACCAGTCTATTGATGGTTCTTGCTTTTCAGGCTCTTCATTTTGCTCTTAGTCATCAACAGAAAACTAAATGTTATCTTGCTCTTGAAACTTTTTTCTAATGACTCTAGGAGTTTGGAGCGCACTCTGTCATTTGAGGATAGAATCATAGAATCATGGGATGGTTTGGGTGGGAAGGACCCTTAAAGCCCCCCCAGTGCCACCCCCTGCCCTGGGCAGGGACACATCCCACCACACCAGGGTGCTCCAAGCCCCCTCCAACCTGCCCTTGAACCCCTCCAGGGATGGGGCAGCCACAGCTTCTCGGGGCAACCTGGGCCAGGCTCTCACCACCCTCACACCAAACAAGTTCTTCCCCACGGCTCAGCTCCATCTCCCCTCTTTCAGGGTCAAACCCTTCCCCCTCCTCCTGGGGCTCCCCTCCTTCATCAAGAGTCCCTCCCCAGCTTTCCTGCAGCCCCCTCCTTGAGGGGCTCCAAGGTCTCCCCGGAGCCTTCTCTTCTCCAGGCTGAATCCCCCCAACTCTTTCAGCCCCCCCTCCCAGTAGAGGGGCTCCAGCCCTCCCAGCATCTCTGTGTCCCTCAGCTGGACCCGTTCCAACAGCTCCATGTCCTTCCTATGATGGGGCCTGAAGTGACATACGCAGCCTGTCCTCCCTGATTTGGGTTTGGACCCTGATATCATTCAGCAAAGCTGGGGTGAATCTGGTGAAACTCTGTTAAAGGCAACACTCCATTTCTATCTCACAGCAATTACTGAGGTTGATGACTGGTCTCATCTCAGCCTCGAGTATTACCAAAGCAAGAGATTTCACCTCATTGCTGCTCCTCAGACACCATGGAGAGGGATGGAGGGAAAGAGGGAGGGAGGGATGGAAGAACAGAAGCCTGGAATAAGGTGGAGGAAAAAAAATAAAAGTCTTTAAAATTGGGAAAGGAGGGGCAGAGGCAAAGTCTGTATGGACAAACCTCCCAACTGCAGCAATTCACTGGTGAGGGACCCCCTGAGATGTTCACAATCCTGTGTTCAGGCTCTAGGGTAAAATTTAGTTGCAATCCCTAGAAAATTTATACATAAACTAATGATCAAGTAATGGGGTTTTTTTTGGCAAATAACAAGACAAGCAGAAACTTTTAAGCATTTGTCAAATAAAAAACATATCAATCAGATCATTTCTCTTGCGTGGGAGGGTGGCAAAGTTTGTACACAGTGGAAAAGAATATATCTCTTAATTTTTGAGATTAATTAGCATGCATATGACATAATATTTTCATAAACGAGCCAGAGAATATTGCTCAGCTTGGCCCATCACGGGGAAGTTTCGAATCCCATTTCTTGTGTTACTGCACAGAAAAATCAAACGAGAATCTGAAGGAGCATCCTGGACCGTGCGTTAGCCTGGGTAGCAGAGTAAAGAAAATGCTTATTAAATCCGCAGCTTCTCCAGAAGCACAGAAAATAGGAGGATTAATGCACGGGGTAATTTTGAAAAATGGAAGGAATGGTCTGAAATAAACCCCATAAATAGATGAAAATTCACATTCAGGATGGGAAAAACGCGGGGAGACAGCAGGAAGGACCGGGGAGGCGACAGGGTGTTTATAAGCTGAGTAGCGGCCACCGGTGATGTGATGCTGGGAGGAGGGACATCAAACTGGGATCTATCCAGAGCATCAGCCCCGAGACACGTGTGATTGTGCTGTGAGAGACGAGGTCTGATCAGTGACCAATTTGCCCTCCTGAGCCTTTCCATTTTCACTTTCCTCCGTAAGAGAAACTCAACTCTGAGTATTTAGAGTTCACCTCCCCTTTGGGTGTAAGCTCTGTGATTTGGTGAAAAACACAGCAGCCGGCTGCAGTAATTTTTTTGAGTGCTGCTGGGAAGGGTAGGTGTTTTATGAATGGTTATCTGTCTGCCTGTCTCTCTCTAAGGGTGGGTATCACACGTGTGACAAAAGGGCTTTCAGAACTGATTGACAATGAAGCCTGCCAGGAGGCAGATGGGTTTTTGTGTTCTGTGGGAAATTCCAGAAAAGAGAAAAAAAAAAAGAAATCACTTGACAATATGTAATAAAGGGACTCCTAACTGAAGTGGGGGAGGTATTTCCATGAGAGGGTTGGTGGCTGTGGCTTAGGCTGTTCACAGCTTCAGAAGAGGAGGTTGAGAGTGGGCATCACAGCTAATTGGGATGGCTGCAGTAGTGGGACGTAGATGTGGATGGCTGCTTTGGCAGGTAGTTGGATTAGATGACCTTCAGAGGTCCCTTCCAACCCCATATCATTCTGTGATTCTGTGACTGTAAATAGAAATGGCTGTGGGTTGGTGGTCTCACTGAAATCAAAAGGGTTATAGAGTCATAGAATCACAGAATGGTTTGGGTTGGAAGGGAACTTAAAGACCATCTCATTCCACCCCGCCCTGCCCCAGGCAGAGACACCTCCCACCACACCAGGTTGCTCCAAGCCCCCTCCAACCTGCCCTTGAACCCCTCCAGGGATGGGGCAGCCCCAGCTTCTCGGGGCAACCTGGGCCAGGCTCTCACCACCCTCACACCAAAGTTCTTCCCCACATCTCAGCTCCATCTCCCCTCTTTCAGGGTCAAATCCTTCCCCCTCCTCTTATGGCTCCCCTCCCTCCTCAAGAGTCCTCCCCAGCTTTCCTGGAGCCCTCCCCTTTCGGGACTGGAAGGGGGTCCAAGTTCTCCCTGAAGCCTCCTCTTCTCCAGGCTGAACCCCCCAACTCTCTCAGCCCCCCCTCCCAGCAGAGGGGCTCCAGGGGTTCAAGGATTATGAAATGTGGGGTTGCTTAGAAAGCAGATCGCACGGAGTTCAAACATACAGCTGAGTCATAACAGTCAGTTGTTATCATTAACGGTAATTAGCACAAATAAAAACAGTGCTTGAGGACGGAGTATGCTGTTGCCACAGATGGCCTTGGGTCTGAATGGATTTGTCCAACAGATTTTGTTTTAAATTCAATCTTAATTGGTGCTTTCATTCTAGATGAGGACTGTCTGGCCACTGACTGTCTGTGGAAAAGGGACCAGGATGCTGGTGGGTACTGGTTACCCCAACATCACAGGAGACCTTGCAGCGAAGGTGACTGGTGGTGGGTCTTTGGGGGTGCTGGGGCACCAGGCTGTGCTGGCCAGTGGTTCCCCTCCAGATGGGCACTGGTGAGACTATGTCTGGGCACTGGGTCCCTGTATGGGTCTCCCAGTAGAATGGACAGTGACAGACCGGAGGTGCTGGAGCCTGGGCTGTGTGGGTTTCGTATGGGTCTCCCAGTAGAACAGTAGTGACAGACTGGAGGTGCTGGAGCCTGGGCTGTGTGGGTTTTATTACCAAGCTGTCCACTTTGACTCATACCTCAACTATGTGTATTTAATCCACACCTCCTCCATCATCAAATCTGCTGTGCTCATGGCCATAATTTTTGACCTCTTTGCCATAATCTTTTATTACCAAGCTGTCCACTTTGACTCATACCTCAACTATGTGTATTTAATCCACACCTCCTCCATCATCAAATCTGCTGTGCTCATGGCCATAATTTTTGACCTCTTTGCCATAATCTGCAATCCCCGAGGTGTGCATCCCTCCCAAACTCTGTGGCACCAAAACTGGTGTGGGTTTAACCATCCAGGCAGTACTTCTGGTGTTCCTGACTGCCTTTCCTCTGAAGATGCTGCCATATCACTGGGTAAACGGTCTCTCACCGTATTTCTTGTCTACTCCAGGATATCATCAAGACCAGGCTGGACAGGGCTTTGAAAAATGTGCTCTGGTGGGAGGTGTCCCTGTCTGTGGCAGACGCTGGACAGGGCTTTGAAAAATATGATCTGGTGGGAGGTGTTTCCTGCCCGTGGCAGAGGGGTTGGAACTTGATGATCTTTAAGATCCCTTCCAACCCAAACCATTCTGTGATTCTATGATCATCAGTGTGGCCCCAGTCACATTTACATGACATTTATGACATGGTAACATTTATGGCATAAATGTTTGCTCTTTCTTCAATAGCTATGGACTCACTGTTACTTATTTTGTTGTACATCATGATACTTAAGACTGTCTTGGGTATCGCATCCAAGGAGGATTGGTCCAGGCCCTTGAACAGTTGCACCTCCAATATCTGTGCTGCCCTAATCTTCGACATCCCAGTGACTGGTCTGTCTGTGATTCACAAGTTTGGGAAAAAATGCTTCTCCCATTGCTCACACCCTCATGGCTGGCATCTTCTTGCTGGTCCCACCATGATGAACATAGAAGCAGAGAATAGTCTCAGTTGGAAGGGACATTTCAGGTCACTGTGTCCAACCATCAAAACAACACTGACAAAGCCACCACTGACCCATGTCCCTCAGCACCATGTCTGCCTGGCTTTGAAATCCCTGACTCCACCACTGCCCTGGGCAGCCTCTGCCAAGGCTTCACAACCCTTTCCAGGAAGAAATTGTTCCCAAGCTCCATCCTAAACCTCCCCTGGTGCAACTTGAGGCCATTTCCTCTTGTTTTATTGCCTGTTCCTTGGGAAAAGAGACCGACCCCCCCAGCTACATCCTTCTTTCGGGGAGTTGTAGAGAGCGAGAAGGTCTTCCCTCAGCCTTCTTTTCTCGATTGTGTACAGAGTGAAAACCAAACAGATCTGTACCCGGACCACCAGAAAGCTGCAAGAAGCCAGATGCAACTCTGCAGTCATGGTGTGAGCTGCTTTGGAGCTGAGGGGTCTGACCATGATTGCACGGGTGGGTAAAGCCTTGCAGGAGTCACACAGCTCAGAAAGACAACGAGAGTTTGGTTAAAAGTTCAAGGACAAACTCTTCATCAACTTGAATAACTGCTGAGACTTGGGCAATAAAATTCCAGTTGAAAGATATGTCATTTTTACATTCAGATGTGGCTTCTTGCATTATACAGAATAACATATTATTAATTAGAAGAAATACATATGACTCCCAGTGATCTAACTGCATAAATATTTTAACCAAATGTAATTTTCTCTGTGGATTTTCCTCTTACAATAATGTCTAATGGAGAATGACACTCTGCCCACTTTCTTTGGTAAAAAAAAAAAAAAGAAAAAAGGAAGGAATAAATACTTCAATAAAGTTTAAAATGTTGCAGCAGAGAACTGGACATATCTGTCAGCATTATGCTGGGAATATCAGCAATTTGTATCAGTTAATTTGGGAACACAGCAATCACAGGGATTGGAAAGGGGTTATCAGTAAGAACAGTTATTCTCTGTGGGTACAAAGGAGAGTTAAAGATTAACCAGAAAAAGCAAATCATAGAATCATAGAATGGTTAGAGTTGGAAGGGACCTTAGAGATCATCAAGTTCCAACTCCCCTGCCCTGGGCAGGGACGTCTTCATCAAATGCAGGTTATCACCACATAGGCAGGTCTGTGGGTCTGCAGAAGACCTGACAAGGGAGGTCCTCGAGGTGGGATTCCTGCTGGATGGATCATCTCAGACAGACCAGATGTTCCTTTCAAAGGAATAGCATCCCAGTCACCCCGCTGCCCTGGTCCTGAAGAGCACCTGGGACACCTTTTCTCGAATGAGTTTGTTTTTCAGGGTGTAGACGATGGGGTTTAGCATGGGTGGCAGGAGCACGTAGACGTTGGCCAACAGGATGTGAACATGGTGGGGGACGTTGTGGCCAAAGCGGTGAGTGAAAAATGAAAAAAACGCTGGGGTGTAGAACATCAATATAACGCAGGCGTGAGAGCTGCAGGTGCCAACTGCCTTGCGCCGGGCATCCTTGGAGGAGAGCCTGAAGACAGCCCGGAGGATGAGGGCGTACGATACCCCGATGAGCACAATGTCCAGGCCCGGGGACAGAAGGGTGGTGGCAAAGCCATACCAGATGTTAACGGAGATGTCAGCGCAGGCCAGCCGGGCGATGCCCATGTGCTCACAGTAGGTGTGGGGCATGACGTTGTGCCCGCAGTACGGCAGCCTCTGAAGGAGGAATATTGTTGGGAACATCACACAAAAGCTCCTGGCTACTGCAGCCAGCCCCACCTTGGCTATCATCAAGTGCGTGAACACTGTGGTGTATCTCAGGGGGTTGCAGATGGCCACGTACCTGTCGAACGCCATGGCCAACAGAATGGTTGACTCTGCAATGAAGCTCAGGTGGGTGAAGAACATCTGGGTAAGGCAGGCCTGGAAAGATATCTCCCTGGAAAGGGACCAGAATATGCTCAGAGTTTTGGGCACTGTGGAGGAGGATAACACCAGATCTGCCACTGCTAACATGGCCAGGAAGAGGTACATTGGCTTGTGGAGGCTTTGCTCAGTCGCAATGACAAACAAGAGGATGAAGTTGCCCAGTAGGGCCAAGAGGTACATCAGGCAGAATGGGACGGAGAGCCAGGCGTGCAGATCCTCCAGGCCTGCCATGCCCAGCAGAAGGAAGGAGGCGGGCTGCCAGCTGGTTTGATTGAGAGCCACCATGGTGGGACAGTATCTGAGGTAGCGTGGGCTACTTTCCCTGTAAGCAAAAACAGGGGAAGAGGTGAGGAGCACTGTTCATAATTCATGAAAACCCACTTGAGTTTCCCCAGAGCACTGGGAGCACAGATTTCTCTGGATCTGAAAGTGTTTTAAAAAATCCTCCCTGCCAGAGCAGGGTCACCCAGAGCAGGTTGGACAGGAATGTGTCCAGGAGGGGTTTAAATGTCTCCAGAGAAGGAGACTCCACCACCTCTCTGGGCAGCCTCTTCCAGGGCTGTGCGATCCTCACAATGAAGAAGTTGCTCCTCATGTTGAGATGGAACTTCCTATAGTCCTGGTTGTGCCCATTGCCCCTTGTCCTGTCCCTGGCCACCACTGAGAAGAGTCTGGCCCCATCCTCTTGCCACCCACCCTTTATTGCTCAGAATCCATGAGATCCCCCCTCAGTCTTCTCCACCTGAACAGCCCCAGGTCACTCAGCTTTTCCTCAGCAGAGAAATGCTCCAGTCCCCTAATCATCTTTGTAGCCCTTTGCTGTACCCTCTCCAGTAGTTCCTTGTCCTTCTGGAACCGGGGAGCCCAGAACTGGAGACAGTCCCTGTGCAGAGCAAAGCAGAGTAGAAGATCAGCATCCAGCAGAAGATGTGACATCAGGAACCAGCCATGTGTCAGGGAGGCAGAGCAGCCACTGGATTTTAAAGCAAAATCAGAAGAAAAGGTCTAAGGCAGAGTATAGCTGTTGGTAGGAACACCAAAACACCAACTCTGGGCACAGAGACGGCACAGAGGAGCTCAGGAACCTCAGTTTTTGCCCAAGGATTGCCCCACTGCACAATGGGGTGGGGGTACCATTCCCACTGCAGCTGAGTGAAAAACAACCCAGCAGTGCTGCCCTGGTACAACCTGCCCCACACTCTGTCACATCTTCCTATTCTGGTCTCAGATGGCCACATCTGCCACCGAACAAGCCCAAATCCACCCAAATCCACCCAATGTGCTCAGGGTTTGTGCCTGCAGAGTCCTCTCCGTGCGGGCTCCAGCTTTTTCCTTGCTGCTCCCTGGGACTTCTGCCTGTGCTTCCCCTTCCTCTGCTGCACCCAGAAGGTGATTTGCAGTATTTCCAGAGAAATAACACAACCACCCGTGAGGGCAGCCCCCACCAAAGTAATCAAAACCTGAAGAAGAGCCATGAACCCTTCTCAGACGACGGGTGGCCAAGGCTAGGTCTGCAACTGCTTTGACTGGTTGGACTTGATGATCTCAAAGGTCCCTTCCAACCATGAAGACTCTGTGGTTCTGTGTCTAGCAATAACCCGGTGATGACAGCAGAAGGCTTTGCTGATAGACTTTTGCTTCTTTGAAGGCACATCCTCATCCCCTTATTGTGAATTCTGTGTGAAAGGCAGAGTGAGGTCATCCAGCTATCGGCTTTTTAGAGCCAGGCTGTGATTTCCTCCATGAAATATTGATTCAGGTGGAGCCTGGGAAAGTCTCCTGCAGGTATCTGCTGTGGGTAGCACATCCTCCGGGCCAGAGAAGGACTCTGGAGCCAAAGTGGCAGCATTTACATGACAAACCCTGCCTGGAAAACTGTATTTCTCATCTCTGAGCCTAAAGCTGCAGCTTGGAGTATTTGGGGAAGGAGGGGGAGAGGAGCTCTCCCAGCTGCAGAATTTTACCTTCTAGTTCAAATCAGGCACCTCAGCTACAGAAACCTGCACGATGACAGCTACTTCAAACAACTCACCAGCTCCCATCACCACCAGGAATGAGGATAATCTGCCTCTGGACCTGAGGGAAGAGAGGGCAGGGAGGGAGGTGGAGATGTTTATAGGCTCCCCCTGAGTCCCCCTGGGGCTCCTGGGCAGCTGGGAGCAGGAGAGCTCTGATCAGTGATGCTTGGACAAGCACGATGAAAAGAAAACATAATTAATGGGGTTTTGGGTGGAACTCCTATAATATGAGCTGCCTGCTGAGACATTATCTCCCACTGCTGCTGCAGGTTATGGCCTGGGATGGAGCACACGAAGACTTCAGGGTCCTGCATCATCCCCTTCACAGCAGGGCGGGGATGAGGGGGGATGGATGAGGACACTTGGGTAGAATCATAGAATCATAGAATGGTTTGGGTTGGAAGGCACGCGGGAGAGGGATGAGGGGGGATGGCTGAGGACACTTGGGTAGAATCATAGAATGGTTTGGGTTTTAATGTGAGCTGTCTGCTGAGACGTTATCTCCCACTGCTGCTGCAGATTATGGCCTGGGATGGAGCACAAGAAGACTTCAGGGTCCTGCATCATCCCCTTCACAGCGGGAGAGGGATGAGGGGGGATGGCTGAGGACACTTGGGTAGAATCATAGAATGGTTTGGGTTGGAAGGCACCTTCAAGATCATCTTGTTCTACCTCCCTGCCCTGGGGAGGGACACCTCCCACCAGAGCAGGTTGCTCCAAGCCCCCTCCAACCTGCCCTTGAACCCCTCCAGGGATGGGGCAGCCACAGCTTCTCGGGCCAACCTGGGCCAGGCTCTCATCACCCTCCCACCAAACAACTTCTTCCCCACATTTCATCTCCATCTCCCCTCCTTCAGGGTCAAACCCTGCTCGGTTGTCCTATGGCTCCCCTCCCTCATCCAGAGTCCCTCCCCAGCTTTCCTGGAGCCCCCACCTTGAGGGACTGGAAGGGGCTGGAAGGTCTCCCCGGAGCCTTCTCTTCTCCAGGCTGAACCCCCCAACTCTCTCAGCCTGTCCTCGTAGGATGGTCAATGCTGACCTCCTCCAGCCAACCCTGGGGAGATGACAGGGGATCTGCTGCCACCACTGCCCCCAGCCATGCTCTGCCTGGCCCTGGGGGTGTTCCAGTACTTTCTGATTAATAGAGCAAACGTGTCTGCTCCCTGCAGCAGGCTCTGGCTGCTGTTCCTCCTCTGAACACTCAGTGTTTGCTTGTACTCTGTGAGGACTCTCTTTGGGGACATAAAAAGAAAATCCAATATTAAAAGAGTGGGAACGGTCAACAAGTGAGAGAACAGAAAGAGGTTGTGGGGGAATGGAAACTAATAAAAATATGAAATAAGTCAAACTCGGGTACCTTAAATTAAGCACTAAATCAAGATTTAGTTGCTGAAATAAAACCAGGCAGATTGACTTTAGCCAGATATTTCCTTTTTCCTTTTTTCCTTTTCCTTTCTCCCTTCTCCTTCCTTCCTTCCTTCCTTCCTTCCTTCCTTCCTTCCTTCCTTCCTTCCTTCCTTCCTTCCTTCCTTCCTTTTCTTTCCCAGGAAAATTGTGAGCTGACATCTTGGGAATCAACATTTCAAGACTGGATTTTCAAGCCCCCCAAATTGGCATATCTGTAAAAAGTCACCATCACCAGCTTATGACTCTCCAGCCCCAGCACAGATATTGTGGCACATAACCCCTGGCTCAGGCTGTCTCTGGTGCAAGAATTCACAGTTTTAATTAACTAAGGTCCTCAGGACTCGGTGATCCGCTTGACATACCTGCGGCATAGGCAGACTAATGTTTTCTAATGCTTTAAAAATCAATTTTATATTGGTAAAGCTGGAATTATCTCTGTCCCAGATCTAATTTGGGTACCCTTCCCTGTGGGTGAGTCAGTGGCATGTAGCTCTCACGGGGTGTCAGGGTGGAGGACCCAGCTCACCTCATTTCTCAGCAGGTTTTGGGGGTTCCTCTCTCCTGCCCCACACTGGTGGCAAGCTATGGCTCAGGTCTGAAAAGCATGGGGTTAAAGTTCCTCAGATTTTGGGTTTTTCAACATAAAAGTCCCATAATCAAGGCACAGCCAACTTTTGGGGCTATCTAGGGGGAATGTTTGATGTACAGGTCTCCGTGCAGGTGCATCCTTTCTCTGACAGAGGCTTCATTGGGGTTCCTCTGCAAAAGACCTTCAGTAAGCCACTCAGGTGAGGACCCTCTCATGGAGACATCCCTTCTGGACTGTTTCCCTGCTTCAGAAAAAGGAGAAAAATGAAAAAAAAAAGAAGAAGAAAATGAGAAATGAGCTTTTCCGTGAAGGTCTTGACATGGGACAAAGAACCTACGGGGTTCTTTGAGACAACCCGTGTGACCCCATGGATTTGCCTTCTCATTTGTGGTCTTCAAAGCGGAGATATGTCCCCCTCCTTGTTTCCACGAGGAGCTGAGACCACCGGGGCCGGGGGGGCGGCAAGGACCGAGCGGAGCATCCCGCATCCCCATCCCGCATCCCGCATCCCCCAGCAGAGGGAAGCAGCGAGCCGCGCTCCGCCCGCCCGCACCCCCCGGGGTACCCTGAGCCCGGCCCCCCCTCGGGGAAGGGGGGCGGGAGGTTTGCGGGGTTCGTGGCTTCACACCTCCCCGGTGATACCGCGCTGGTGTCTCTGGGCTCCCAAATTGGCGGTGGAAGGACTTGCTCCAGAGCCTGCACCGACATTAGGGTCACGGAGGTGCTGGGGGGGCTGGAGCCCCTCTGCTGGGAGGGGAGGATGAGAGAGTTGGGGGGGTTCAGCCTGGAGAAGAGAAGGCTCCGAGGAGACCTTGGAGCCCCTTCCAGTCCCTCAAGGTGGGGGGGGGTCCAGGAGAGATGGGGAGGGACTCTTGAGGAGGGAGGGGAGCCCTAGGAGGAGGGGGAAGGGTTTGAAGGTGAAAAAGCAGAGATTGAGGTTAGATTTTGGGAAGAAGTTCTTTATTTTGAGGGTGGTGAGAGCCTGGCCCAGGTTGCCCCGAGAAGCTGTGGCTGCCCCATCCCTGGAGGGGTTCAAGGCCAGGTTGGAGGGGGCTTGGAGCAACCTGCTCTGGGGCGAGGTGTCCCTGCCCAGGGCAGGGGGTGGCACTGGGGGGGCTGTAAGGTCCCTTCCCACCCAAACTATTCTATGACTCCATGATTTTATGGGAGGGCTGCAAGGAGCTAGTCCAAGCGCTGTGTCACCCAGCAGCCTGGCCACCAGCAGATGCCTGGGGAAGAGTTGAAGCACAAAGCAAACATGCCGTGGTGCTCCTCCACAGAGAAGAGCACAGTGGCTCCTCAGCCAGAGAGGCTATTTTGGCACCAAAGCATTGCTCTCCTGTCAGTTTTTCTTGCTGCTTTTTGAGCTTGGAGAAACCTTTGCCATCCACAACGTGCTGCAGAGCTCGTCCCCGAGGGAGAGGGTCTGAGGACAGCTTTGAGGTTGAGGAGAGCAAGTCTCACCCATGAGCAAGGTTCTGCCAAGCAGCTCTCAGGCAAAGGCTGTCTGATTGGAGCTTTCACCAGAACAACCCAAAACTTTGACACTGGAAGAAGCAGAATTTCTGGTCTCCAGGGTCTTTAATTGGGACTTGTAATTTTATTATACATAGAAGGATGCATATATGTATCTTCATGGGTTATATTATGGGTGTCAAGGGGTGTGAGCCTGGAAAGGCTGGGGTAATCCACTTGGACCACTTTAAAAAATATTTATAGTTCCCAGTAACGTGCTCCCAAGGACATGCTGATCCCACTAGTTACAGTGCTGGGGGTCCAGTTCGTCTCAAACACTGGCAAAAAACTTGAAAACAGTTGTTAAATATTTAAACTGGTTTAAAATGTCCTTCTGGGGGCAGTCAGTTCATACGGTGCCTGCACCTCTGGCTCAGCTGGAGGAGAGCAGCTCCTTTTGAAGCAGCACCACCCCATCAGCTCGAGTGGGAAGAAATCAATCTTCTGAGCCTAAACGAGCCAGTCTGAGGAGGCGTTCTGCTGCAGTGCCTTATGGAAACTCCAGCATACTAATTAGTGCATGCTAATTGAGGAATGACAGCTATTTCAAGAAATCTGGTGTTGTAGCCTAACCCAGGCGAAATGCTCCAGGTGAAACTAAGAAAAAAACCTGAGGGGGAAAGGACCCGTGTTTTAAAGAGAAGACAACACTTTTGGTTAATATCTGAGAGTCCAAAAGTCATTGCTTTATATAAAGTATTCCCCTCGCAGACCTGGGAGACTGCTTCAGCCCATGTTTGGGACACCAAGTCCAGCTGTGTCTGTGGAGGGTGGACCTTGCCAGACCCGGCCTCCTCATCCTCCACCTCACATATAATAGACCAAGTCCAAATGACCAGTGACCAGCCTGGTCTCCCTGGAGGCAAAAATGGTCCCAGGTGGCCAAAAGGACCACTGCAGAGAGCAGTGTCTGCCCTGACACCCACACCGACACCAGCTCATGTGGATGTGACCAGCATGACCCATCCCTGTTCCTCCTCGATGGGTGGTCAGGACAGGACACAACCCTCTCCTGCTTATTCCATAGTCACTCTTGTGTCCGTGGGTCCCTCAAACCCTGGAGCAGACCAGAAGCCTGTCCAGATCCATGTCCAGACCCTCACCCCTCTTTGTCCACTCTCCAGCTCCAGCCTTGAGTCTTTCCAGGTTCTGGTCTCCCATCCAGCAGTTACTCCAGCTTAATGTTTGTCACCAAATCCCACACACTGTTCCCCCATACACAGATAGTAAGGTCACTCAGAAAAGAGCCAGAAGTGAGTTTAATGAGCTGAGAAGTTGGGCTGATTGGGCACTTGACCTGGAGAACACATTGTCCAGCAACTTATTTACACTCTATCAGCCCCTTCACCAGCCTCCCTCCATTTTCTCAACCTGGGTCCTTCCCGATACACCTGGATCCCTCCTTTCTCTTGCCTTCAGTCCATCTTCTAAACATCTCATAATACATTTTACACATTCCCACAAGCCCCTGAAATCACCCCATATAAATTTTTACACAAGGGCCACCGAATATCCAGCACGAAGTCTGCTCTTTCCAGGGAACCCATAACTTCATTCTCCCTTCTCAGCAGTTCTGCTTGAACCTCTTTCCTCCTGGATCCTCCAGCCACCCCTCAGTCACTGACGTTGCCTGTGGTCTGTGTTAGTTATCTCCTGGGGTCTTGGGTTTGTGTATTTCAGCATGATATGTTATGATTTGTTATTTTTCCTGTCTTTGGCCTCTGTTTATATGTTGAAAAGCCATTAACCAGACATTCTTAAAATCGTGGTTCTTGCATTGCAGGTGTCTACATATCCTTTCTTCCATCCACCTTTTACCTTCCTTATATCCCTACTTGCCATATAGACAGAAGTTTGGCATGTTCCCCTCTCCTGGCTGGTCTTCTTGGGATTGAACCGTGCGTAAGACAGTCAGCAGTGACCATCATATTGGCTTTACTGCCAAATGGCAACCCTGGACTTGGGGACCCCTCTTTGGCAGAGCGTCCTCAGTATCCGTCTCCGGATGGGTTTGGTTTTCACGCTGTAAACGATGGGATTCAGGATGGGTGGGGCAAGGAAATGGAGGTTGGCCGTGAAAACATAGGCCTGGGGGGACACGTGTTTGCCAAAACGGTGCATCATGGACAGGCAGATCATGGGGACAAAGAAGAGGAGGACGGCACAGATATGTGAGATGCAAGTGTTGAGGGCTTTGAGACGCTCCCTCCAAGTGGCAAAGTTCAGGATGGTCTTAAGGATGAGGAGGTAGGACAGGAGGACAAAGAGCAAGTCCAAACCCAGCGTGGAGAGCAGCACAAAAAGTCCATAAGCACTGTTAATCCTCGTGTCGGAGCCCGCGTGTTTGATGATGTCTGGGTGCAAGCAGTAGGGATGGGAGAGCTCACTGACCCTGGTGAAACACAGCCGAGTCAGCAGGATTGGGAGTGGGAACTGGACAAGGACGGTCCTCACCACGATTGCCACGCAGATCTTGGTGGTCACCGAGTTGGTGAGGATGGAGGAATATCGCAGGGGGTGGCAGATGGCCACGTAGCGATCGAAGGCCATTGCCAGGATGACAGCAGATTCGATGTCCGTGAAGGAGTGAATGAAGAACATCTGGGTAAGGCAGGTGCCAAAGCTGATTTCCCTGGCCTCCTGCCACAGCATCCTCAGCATGGTCGGGAAGGTGGATGTGGACAAGCCCAGGTCAGCCACAGCCAGCATAGCAAGGAGTAGATACATGGGTGCGTGGAGGCTCTGCTCTGCCCTGACAATGGAAAGGACAGTCAGGTTCCCCAGCAGTGCTAGGAGGTACGTTGAGCAGAGAGGAACAGCAGACCACACCCCAGTGGTTCCCCATGCTGGAAAGCCACCCAAAAAGAATGACTGGGTCCTGGTCTGGCTGCTGTTGGTCCCGGTGGGGATGAAACAAAGATGCTCCATCTCATCCCTGAAGAGCTGCCCTGGAAAGAAAGCCAGAGGGGTCACAAATCACACACAGGCAGTAAGAAATAGGGATGGTCCAGGAGCCCTTGGATCAGAGACATCAGCAAGACCAGCTACAGCAAAGCTTGGATTGAATATGGACTGAAACACCTCTCCATATTTTCTCATGGACAATAAATGTCCACGAGCTCTTGTGTAAATACAAATCGAGGGGGAGAAGTGACATTGCAATTAGAGTGCTGATCTTGAAGTTTGTATTTTTACTGAGAATCTCTGGTGAAAGAGGAGGAGCTGGTAACAGATCAGATACTGGTCTGTCTGTGGAAATATAGCCACTTTCTGAGGAATGGACACTTATAGAGCCTGGGCCTTCTAGACCAACAAAACACAGGCCATCTACAAACACACAGAGGGAGAAAGATCTACTTAAGCTGAAAGATAGTGATTATTCACAAAGCAAGGACGTGGAGCTGTTGGAGCGGGGCCACAGGAGGCCATGGAGATGCTGGGGGGGCTGGAGCCCCTCTGCTGGGAGGGGGGGCTGAGAGAGTTGGGGGGGTTCAGCCTGGAGAAGAGAAGGCTCCCGGGAGACCTTGGAGCCCCTTCCAGTCCCTAAAGGGGGGGCATCCAGGAAAGGTGGGGAGGGACTCAGGATCAGGGAGGGGAGCCTGAGGACAAGAGGGGGAAGGGTTTGACCCTGAAGGAGGGGAGATGGAGCTGAGCTGTGGGGAAGAACTTGTTTGGTGGGAGGGTGGTGAGAGCCTGGCCCAGGTTGGCCAGAGAAGCTGTGGCTGCCCCATCCCTGGAGGGGTTGAAGGGCAGGTTGGAGGGGGCTTGGAGCAACCTGCTCTGGTGGGAGGTGTCTCTGCCTGGGGCAGGGCGGGGGGAAACTGAGTGTTCTTTAAGGTCCCTTCCCACCCAAACCATTCCATGATTCTACAAATTGTACATGGATAAGTGCAAGCTGGAAATTACAAGGACATCATCTAAAACCAAGATGTTCTCTGGACATCCTCCCACTACACATACAGGGAGGTGAGATGGAAAGTTTTCTTTCTGTAAACTCACGCTGCCAGGAAGGGTGGGGACAGGACCCAAGGACTGTAATCTCTAGAGTCCTCTCCCCAGGCCTCTCTTCATGAAGAACCTAGCTCTGGTCCTCATGTCTGGCTTTGAAGGACCATCTACTGCAGGGGCTCCCGTGCTCCCATGGGTGCCCGTGGTGAGCAGAACCAGTGCAGCCTCAGCATGTTTCAGTGAGGGTCACCGAGGTCTCCACAGCCCCAGGTCAGCTCAGTGTGGTCCACATCGACTTTCTCACACCTTCTAGAGAGATCTTTCCCACCCTTCTCCTATAAGGACACCCCATGGAAAGCAACAGGGAGGAAGGCAGTGGGAATGAATGGGTGCATAAGAGGGATTTTAAGAAACTACTCTGGAAATGACTGGTTTTGACAGCTAAGTGAGATCTGTTGTGGAGATTTATGTCACCTTGTCTGGAATACCCACCCGTAAGTCTAGAAAAGTTTTTGAAACAGCCTAAATCACTGTAAAACCATTACATTGGAAAATACCTGGATTGTTCAGAGAAAAAATGCAGAAAAAACGCCATTCTTTCCTCAAACAGGGCTTCTAACCCACAGCATCCATCTTTGCCCTACTCCATTTCCATGTGCAGGTTTGTGGCCCAAAGCTGGGTTTGTGGCGCAAGGCAGCAGCCCTGGATAACTGGAGAGACCTAGAAAATGTCATGGATAGACCTGGGCTGGCACAAAGCTGCAGACTTTAATGTGTGGGGGTTTTCTCTGCTCCTCTGGAGAAGCTCCTCAAAGATCATCCCCCACAATTACTCGGAGGGGACGGAGGAGGAGTTACGGGAGGAGAAAGTTATCTTCAGGCACAAACGTCTGGCGGGACCAGTTAAAGTGGCCGTAATTCCCTCCTCTGTCTCCACCCTGAGGGTACAGGGACCATCAGAGGTTGTTTTTAATTGCCCCAAATTTCTGCTGTGTGCTTTACCCACACGGTGCCGGGTGGGTGCTGTGTCACTTGAAGAACCTCCTTGTCTCGGCCACTTTTTCTGCCACAAATCAGCCCCCCCCGGCCCCTCCACTGCAGCATGGGAGCATCTTCAGCAGGCAGAGCATGAAGTGATGACTCATTTTAACTCCTACAGCGTGACGTACTCCCCAAAATGACAAATTCCACAGATGCACCCCAGGATTTCACTGGGACCGAGTGTCCTCACCAGGCTGTGAGTGGAAAAGGGGCTGCACCTTGCTCTGGGATGAAGAGTTTTTCTCTGAGTGGGTGCAGCCTGTTCCCCCTTGCAACAGGAGAGTCTGGGGTCTCGGAGAGGTGTCCCATCTCCATGCCAGCCCTCTGGAAAGGGGACAGAGCACAGCTCCTTGGAGCAACACCCATCTTGGGGAGCTGAAACGAGCTGGTGTTTGCAGGGGTGAGCATCATGGACCCTGCCCACATCTGAGAGGAGTTGGGGGGGGACCCATCTGAGCCCCCCAACAGTGTCACAGAGCAAAGAGACCACTCACCTGTGTTGCTCACGAGCTTCCTACGAGCTCCTGCAGCCTGTTCCTGACCCTCAGGGCTCACAGCAGCAGAGGATGGATTTATAGAAGATCCTCGACTGGGAGCAGGAGGGCTCTTGGTTCCTCAGCGCTCAGAGCTGACTCATTAACCCCTACAGCACCGGGTCCACCCTGGCATGCAATGTAGCCTGGTCCCTGCTGATGGTGGCCAGGGGTGCACCCCAGAGAACCCTCCCAGAGATGCCATCCACCTCCTGGCATCCCTCTCCCCAGAGAGTCAGGCCAGGGCTGGTTTGGGTAGAGGAGCTCCTGCTTTGTGGCAGGGTGATGGACAGATGACTTTTAAAGGTTACAGCTAGCCCCACTTCAGCTCATAGAATGGTTTGGGCTGGAAGGGACCTTCAATCATGGACCCTGCCCGCATCTGAGAGGAGTTGGGGGGAGACCCATCTGAGCCCCCCAACAGTGTCACAGAGCAAAGAGACCACTCACCTGTCTCACTCACGAGCTTCCTACCAGCTCCTGCAGCCTGTTCCTGGCCCTCAGGGCTCACAGCAGCAGAGGATGGATTTATAGAAGATCCTCGACTAGGAGCAGGAGGGCTCTTGGTTCCTCAGAGCTCAGAGCAGACTCATTAACCCCTACAGCACCGGGTCCACCCTGGCATGCAATGTAGCCTGGTCCCTGCTGATGGTGGCCAGGGGTGCACCCCAGAGAACCCTCCCAGAGATGCCATCCACCTCCTGGCATCCCTCTCCCCAGAGAGTCAGGCCAGGGCTGGTTTGGGTAGAGGAGCTCCTGCTTTGTGGCAGGGTGATGGACAGATGACTTTTAAAGGTTACAGCTAGCCCCACTTCAGCTCATAGAATGGTTTGGGCTGGAAGGGACCTTCAAGATCATTGAGTTCCAACCACCCTGCCCTGGCAGGGACAGGTTGCTAGACCAGGTGGCTCCAAGCCCCCTCCAACCTGGTCTTGAACCCCTCCAGGGATGGGGCAGCCACAGCTTCTCTGGGCAACCTGGGCCAGTTCTGTGGATGTGGAAGGAAACCCTGGGAGAAGTCTGTGGTCTCTGGAGCAGACCAGAGCTATGTGGCCCTGTGTCCTGTCCCCAAAAGTGGCTTTAGGCAGATGCCAAGAGAAGAATGTAAGCATAGGGCAAGTGTGCTTAGTAATGCCTCAGGCACCTTCTCAGCCTCCAGCAATTTGTATTCTAGGGGATTCCTGAGCCAGAACCAATTAATATACACATAGTAGCCCAGGAAGGACTTCTTCCTTCCAGCTTCCCTCCTTCCGTTCATTTGAATTTGAATGTTGGTAATCACGTCACACAATGGTGAGAAGATCTAGAGCCACCACTTTATGCTTGTCCTGAACACACTCCTATTTCATGTATTGGAAGTGACAAAGAACACCTGATCCCTGCCACCTGTCTTAGAGCCATTCAAAGTTGGCTTCTGCTGACACAGCCAAAAGCAGTGTCCATGGTGTGACAGATGCCTTCCTGGCCAGTGGTGCGAGCTTGTCTTCAACGTCAGGTCATACGTCCTGGGTCTCCAAGATGTGCTGAGTTTGCCTTGCAGGAACACTTGTCCCCAGCTCCTTGATCCCTGTGAGGAGCATCTGAATTGTCCCACATATACATGGTCCCACATCTGCATGGTCCCACATCTACATCTCTGCCTTCTTCCACCTTCCAGCTTTCTTCTGCTTCACCCACTGTTTCAAGACCACTGTCTGCCACCCTGTCTATGTCCTGCTGGCCAGCCTGGGCCACCCAGACCATAAGCCTCGCTGGGTATGAGGTGAAGACCAAGGAGATGTGTGGATGGGTGTCTGGCTTGCCCTGTGAGGAACAGCCTGGAGCCCAGTGTGACTCTGGCAGGGGAGGCTGAATGAGCCTGGGCTCAGCAGTCTCCCCGTCTCTCCCCAAAACACCTCCCTGAGCATCCCAGCTCCCTCCAGCCATCCTGGGTCATTCCACGCTCCTGTGGAAACTCACCCAGCTTTTAGTCCTACTGTTGGGCTGCTTTGGGGTGCAGAGCATCAGAGCCCCCAAGTGCATCTACTGGAGTGGTGAGAGAGAAAGCGTTATGAGGGAGCCCTGTGAGATGGTCCTCAGGAGGCCAGGGCATGGGTGACACGTTCATAGAATGGTTAGAGTTGGAAAGGACCTTAAAGATCGTTGAGTTTCAACCCCCCTGTCCCATGAGCAGGGACATCTCCCACCGGTTGCTCTAAGCCCCATCCAGCCTGGTCTTGAGTGGGATGGGGCATCCAGGGATGGGGCATGCATCCACGTTCAGCTGCACCAGAAGAGATGCACCAGGACATCCACCTCCATCCCCATCAGCTCTTGAGGGTCTTCCCTGCACAGAACTCTTGCTGTGCCCTTATTGTGTGATGATGGACCCTGCTGCAGTGCTGCAATCCTACTTTAATTCAGAAG